TACACTTTTCCTTTTTAGTCGGTCCCAAGAAAAACTATCACATTTATATATATTTGAAAACTCTATAATCTTGTCATTCTCTGTTTACCCTTAATGACATGACTTGTTATATTCAACTTAATAAACAAAGTTTAGAGAGGTAATATGAAAAAGCATGCGGAGCAATTTTGGTACTTTGGATAATTTAACTTATGTGTCAAACGTCTTTCTTTGTTTCTTGAACTCCATCCAAAGTCAAAAAGCCGCCACATAAAATGGGACAGGGGGAGTATGCAACTGGCATTTTTCGATGAATTTGCTTACCTCCTTTACAGCCAGCTCCTCTCATTCCATATCCAAGTTCTGGAGGAATCTTCAGTTTACGCTTTCCTCCTGAAATTCAAGTGATGAGATAGTATTTACTTTTAAAAAAATTCAAAGTATCATGAAATTTGAACTATGAAATGTGCTCCTACCAGTTAGCATTGGAGGGAAACCATCACCTCCTAAAATTCCCTGATCCCAACCTTTAATAACCTAAGAGGAAAGAAGCAGGAAGAATGAGTCTATCATCTATTATTGGAAATTTCCAAGAGCTGGTAGTACAGATACATAAAAATAACCAACCTCACCAACACCAACACGAAATGTAAGAGGCTTTCCACGGTTGTAGCTGCTATCGAAGACCTTCCCGTTTTCCAGCTTACCTACATAATGTGCCTGCACAAGATAATCTATTAGTAATCCGATACAACTCACTATGGTACAAAGAAAAGTTAGCTAAGAGTTCTGATGTCTAGTCTCACTATACCAGAATAACGAAGAACATCTTTCGACCATAAAATTTATTTCAGGTTTCAGGTTTCAGCTTTTACCCTTAGCTACCCTTATAAAGCTAGTATAACTTAAGTTTGGGTTCAATCTTCGCTTTTTGATGAGTGAAACATCAGTAAAGGCCAGTTGATGCACGGCTCCAAACTATGTGTATAATGAACCCCCCCTCTAGCCTTCACTTAAATAGCAGGCTTTTTGTCCACAGCAAGACTCAAATCCATGACATGCGCCTAACCTATGCATCATAGTACTGCGCCCTTATCACTGAACCAATCTTTGCAATGTTGATAGCTAATATAACTACATAAAACTATCTTCTATCTAGCATTTTAAGTCTTAGATGAGACGATATGCACTATCAAACATGCTCGCATAAAACAGAGGAAGAGGCCTAGGTTATTGAAGCTCTTATGTCAATGGCTCAATGCCCATTGTCAAACCTAGGGTAAAATATGAGTTAAGAAAGCCTTTTTTCTTCTTATATATGTCCATCTAATCCTTACACCAAAAGAGGGAAAATCCTGAAATGAATCATAAATAGATTCTTATGACAAATTTTTGAAACTGTGGCTTTCAAAAACTCTTAACTGAGAATAAGGAAATATATCTAATGCATAAAGAGGGCATGAGCAATCACATAAACTTAGTAATCCTGTATGACTTACAAAACTTTTCATCATCTCCTAACTAAAAGTTTTATCCAATTTTACGAATTCTATTCCTTTTTTGGAAGTTCTACACTTCAAATCTTTCTCTTGTCACGTTTACAATTACATAGAAACTTATTGCTCAACTTTCCCTTTCTAGCTATCCCCCTTCCACTCCACGCCCCTTTGATACATAGAGACGGAGTCAGAATATAAAGTTTATGGGTTCTGAACTTACCATCGAACTCGTACCTCGTCTTGATTTTTGGGTTCACAATTAAATATTTATACATATTTAATGAATATTCTAATACAAGTATAAGCATGGGCGGATGTACAGCACTTGTATCGGGTTCATCTGAATCCAGTATTTTCAGTACGGAATAGAATATTATGAGTAAAAATTCACTAAATTTGTAACAAATAATAGATATGGACCCATAACTTTTAAGGGTTCAATGCTAGAACCGTAAAAGTTGAACTCATAAAACTTAAATACTGGATCCGCCTCCGAGTATAAGGTCGAAGCAAAAACTATCTAATACTCTAGCTCTTCCTTTGTTGATACATGCTACCTAACCATACTTCTTTTCAAGTTATATAGCAAATTGCAGCAAGTCTTGGTACTTGCTTTAAGAAAAGAGAGGAAACAAAAAGAAAAATACTATCTACCCAGGCAGAACAGCTTGACTAAACGTGCGTCTTTTACATACCTCGATCCATATTGTTTGTTCCAAACATTTAACGTTTTAGAAAATTCTATTACTTCCTTTTTGGAAATTCACCTTTACTGATCCAATTGATGGAGCATTGTTAATCAAGTGAGACGTTTAATAAGGTTCAAAGGGTAAGTTTTTGTGAGAAGGGTAAAAAGAAAAATAGAGCTAAAAGGGTAATTTAGACAAATACTCCTAAAAGACACAGCCCGTTTGGCCAAGCTGCAAAAATCAGCTTATTTTGAGAAGTGCTTTTTTTCAAAAGTGCTTTTCTCAAAAGTACTTTTGGTGAGAAACAGTTTGTGTTTGGATAATTAGTTTGAAAAACACTTTTAAGCAGCAATTAGTGTTAGGCCAAGCTTTAAAAAACTGCTTCTAAGTGTATTTTTCTCAAAAGTGCTTCTCAAAAAAGTGCTTTTGGAGAGAAGCTACTTTTTTCTCCTTCTCCAAAACTGCTCCTGCTTCTCCTCAAAACACTTTTTTTCTTTCCAAAAGCTTGGCCAAACACCTCATTTTTTTGCCAAAAGTGCTTTTGGCCAAAAAAAGCACTTTTGGCCAAAAAGAAACTTGGCCAAACAGGCTAATAATATAAACTGGAAGCACTACTTATAGCCTGTTTGGCCAAGCTTCTCCAAACCTAGAAAAAGTGTTTTTTTCAAAGTTAAAGTGTTTGGCAAGTTTTTTGAAGGAAAAAAGTGCTTTTTGAGGAGAAGAGAAGCAGTGCAGAAAAAACAGCTTCTCCCCAAAAGCAATTTTGAGAAAAATACACTTAGAAATACTTTTTAAAAGTTTGGTCAAACACTAATTGCTGTTCAGAAGTGTTTTTCAAATTAATTAACCAAACATAAACTGCTTCTCACTAAAAGTAGTTTTGAGAAAAAACACTTATCAAAATAAGCTTATTTTAGAAGCTTGGCCAAACAGGCTATTGTCTTGATTAATGAATGCATCAATTTGTAGTCAATGCACCTTTTTAGTTAAATTAACTTAGTGTGAGTAACTTTTTTTTTGGCTCTAATCTAATAACTATAAAATACAAATTAAAAGCAAATAGTGAAATCAAATAGAAGTTTAAAGAGAAAAACCTTAATTAACTGCCCTTTAACAACTTCAGGGCCATAACCCACAACTTTATCACAATAAGACAGACCAGAAGGGGTAACGGTAAATTCACATCCAGTAGCTGTAGCTTCTTCTTCGGCAACTGCTTCAATATTTGACTGTGGCTGCAAAAGTGCCTCGAGAAAAGTTGCAGCAAAACTTAACCCAAGTGTACTAAGTGCTTCTCTTCTTCTGAATAAAGTAGGCAATTGACTTTTCTCTTTGAGTTTATTCACAGATAAAGATCGTGAAATTGAGTCGTTTGTTTGAGAATTTTTGTTACAGAGAAATGGGGATTTGAGTGTGTTATTGTGCTTTGTAAGAATGTATGTTCCAATGGAAAAGGGAACTGAATTCATTTCCACTGTCTACAGAGTTTTGAACGGATAAGAGAAGATGCAAAGGTGCGTGGGTTATAGCCAAGTTTTGTAGTCTCTATTTGTTTAATTTTCCCGTTTCCTCTTTTCTATTTTTTTTTTTTTAATTATCTCATCTGTTTAATGTGATGCACTTTTGTTTTTAGTTTGTTAAAAAAAATAGCACCTTTATATTTAAAAATAATTTAGGTAAAATTGCATTTTTGGCCCCAAATTGTTGATAAACTTTGATTTTAATCCTTGTGACATTTGATTAAGCACATTGAGCCTTTAATTAATTAAAGTGGTGCATTTCTAATCAACCATTGCACGATTTAGTTGTTCATGTATAATGTTAGATTTGTACTTTACTCACACAAGCTGTTTTCAATAGACCCTCGGCATCCTTCCCTCCAAGAATTTTCCACCTTGTTCTTGTGATGACTCGAACTCACAACCTCTTGGTTGGAAATGGAGGGTGCTTACCATCAGAGCAACCCACCTTGTTGCTTAAAGTGGAGGGTACTGTGAGCGTTACTGTGTTAAACCAAAAATCAGAAAAAAACTGTTAGAAAAATAAAAGAAACTGGAAAAATAGAAGAGTTTAAGAAATATTCCGAGTCCACAATTTTCTTGTGTGTCCTTAAGGAATTTTAACCCCCTCACACGTTGCCAAGGTAATGGATTAAATCCTCCCAGGATAAAACGGAATAAACCTTCCTGCAACAGTGGCAATACAAACTGCAGGATACCAACGAACTCAAAGAACGGAGCAAAATCACACTTACGAATTTGAGAGAGAGAGACTGCGAATTAGGATGCAATATATTCAGAAAGAAAGAAGTTCTGGAGTGTTTTTCGTGTGTAGAAAATGGAGCCTTGCCTCAGAATTTATAGGCAATTATCAGAAGAGGTGTCTGGAATAGGTGCTTTCAGAAGAACCCTCTGAACCTTCATCCGAAGCCGAAGCCGAAGCCGAGCGAGCGACGACGACGGCGCGGGGGTTCATTCTTTTCAACTCCTTTTAAGAGCTTTAAGAAGTGATTCTATATATAAGCACACAAATGTGGTTGTCCCTCACCAATGAGGGACAAAGTGCAAGACAAAAGTTCACTTCTTCAAATTTTCAATTTCCCTCCATTTTATTTCCCTCCATTTCCAATTCACACTTCTTCTACTTTAAAGCCCAATGGCTTAAAGTCCAACAATTTATAGTGTTTGGATACCATGATCAAACCTGCATTCCCGTTACCATTTGGAGTATGACAAGCTTGAGACATCTGCATATAACACCGCTATATACCTATCAACCGTTACACAATCTTGACAACTTACATACATGTTCCGATCTGGTTATTTTTCCTGGGATGTATTACCAGAATTTTATGAAAAGATTTCCCAATCTTGAAAAGCTCATTTGTCAATTATATCGTTCAGGAAACTCGTCTAGCAATTTCTTTCCTAGTTTTGACTCTCTTAGTCAACTGAATTCTCTCAAGATTGGTGTCTCTGGGGAATTGGTAGATCCCTATGGATGGTTTTGAAGACTTTACATATCCGTTAAACCTCAAGAAATTAACTTTAGCATGTCTTGAACTCCCCTGGAGTAGAATCTTAACTATCAGCAGGTTATCCAACCTTGAAGTTCTGAAACTCGAAGGAAATGCCTTCAGAGGGAGACAATGGGACGTTAAGGATGGGGAATTTCCTAACCTTAAAGTTTTGAAATTAAAGGATCTACGAATCTCAGAATGGACGGCCTCTGATGACTCGTATCCCAGCCTACAGAAAGTACTTGTGCAATGGTGTTGGAACCTAGAGGAAATCCCTGAGAGCTTCGGAAGCAAGTGTACGATGCAAATGATTGAGGTAAGATCATGTCGCTACTCTGTTGTAAATGCTGCCCTCAAAATTAAGGAAACACAAATTGAGGAGATGGGGAATTCTGAATTCAAGGTCATTATTTGTAAGTGAAAGTCAATAGTCTTGATCAGAGGGATCGTGCAGTTAGATAACCTTGTTTTATGTTCTGGAAATTAAAGTAGATGCTACACATGGTATGCAAGGACCTCCTGTTATTTGCTTGATCTAGTACTTTTAATGTGCTATTATTCGATTGTAGTCTTGATTAAGGTGTGATCGATATCAGAAAAGGTTCATTTGAATGGGTTTGATGCACCCCCTATAGTTCATAAGGACTTGATCTTTTCTAGCTTATAAATTGCAATTCTGCAAAAGCTACTTCACCTTTTGCATGGGTCAAGTTGCCCCTATAGTTGCTGCAACTGGCTTTTACCCCTCTGAGTGTGATTTTTCACTTGAATTGAAAGATGAAAGGAAAGGAATATTGGCCACTCAATGAGTGCAACTCCATACTCTAATGTCTAGCTGTGTCGCGACATGAATTCCAAGTTCAAAACAGATGGTGAAAAGGATAGTATGTATTACCAATAATGGCATGCCAAACATTGATGGCGTTTTAATTAACTCGAAATCATCAGATGATTAAATGGTTCTTTCCACAATTTATATCTGTTGATTAACCAGCTATTAGACAGTGGATGAAGTATTGGATATCCAACACAAGCAATTCTGAGATAGTACTTGACCATTGATAATAACATGGGGTAATTGAACAATTGAAACTTTTGAACATAAAAGAATAGGCAATATTCCTCATATATCTGCAACTGGATAACCCCCAAGTAGAGGCGAACCCAGGAATTGAAGGTCATGGTGCACTTTTGGATTCAACTAAAATTTTATATAGTGTGTCCACTACTAATATTTTACTATTTTCTAAAGACATACACATGGAATTTTTACCGAATTTTACCGGTGCCGGTGACCCCTCTGTGTATAGTATAAGTCCGCCCCCAAGAANCCGATCTAGATAACCTTGTTTTATGTTCTGGAAATTAAAGTAGATGCTACACATGGTATGCAAGGACCTCCTGTTATTTGCTTGATCTAGTACTTTTAATGTGCTATTATTCGATTGTAATCTTAATAGTCGATTTCCAAAATATATATATATATATATATATATATATATATATATATATATATATATATATATATATATATATGTGCCTAACAGATAAATTGAAACATACATAAATTGGGCAAGGTAAAGAGGATAATTGAAATGAAACCCAAAGCTATTATGTGAGACACTCCACTGATATCACTAATTCCTTTTCCGTTTTCTTGTTTGATTTAACTCATTTTGTCCATTATGGTACTCATAGTCCATAGTGGTTTAAGAAAAATAAAAAATTGAACCAAATTATCTAAAGAATTTGAAAAGTATTTTCGCTTATTTTTTTTTGATTTTTAATTCTAAAGGTTGACACTTAAGGAAGTGATATTCAGCTTTGAGATAGATACTGAAATACTTATGGAGCAACTTGTGACAGGACCTCGTTGATTAGTCCGTCTAGGAACACACTGATCCGACTAATTCAAATTAATTGCTCAAGTCCATTAAAGGGCAAACGCTATCTATTGACTCCAACTGAGATCTCCGGTTAAGGGGAGGGACCGAGCTCCTTGGTGGTGACACAAAAGAATTCATTTATTCGGAGGTTCAACATTTGCTTTCATGAATTCAAATTGTTTGACAAGTTCATTCATAAGTTGTCTCATTATCCAATTGTCTGATTACTTTGTATTTTAGCTTCTAATACAAGTTGTCTATAGGAGATACTGCTGGTGTTGCTGGTTGTGATTTATTTGGCGGCGATGCTAACAGGGCAGAGCTAGGTGCGGAACGGGGTTCAGCCAAATCTTTTTGCCAAAAATTACACTGTGTACATAAGATTAAAATTTATTTTCATATATATAGATTAGATGATGAATTTTCTTTTTCGCGTGTTTACTTTTTTTAATTTTTAAATATTCTTGATAAAAATTCTGCATCCGCCACTGATTACTACTAGTATGTTGCACTTGATTGAAGTTGGTCAATCTGTTGTTTAAATCTCAGTGGCTATCTTTTACGTTATTTATCTTTACTGAGTATTAGGTGACTTATATGTTTCTTTTTTACTATATATGCTTTTGAGTATCAGGACAAACGAAAGCTATCTTCTTCAATTTCATTGTCTCTGTACTTAATTGGTATTTTCCCATCCCTTATCCTTCCACTTTACATGGCTATTTGTATACGGTTGAAATCAGGTATGCCCGATTTCTCAAACTCGAGGGGTCGTCTTAAGTTCGAGTTCAGGCAAGGTCGAGTTCGAGCCCGATGGATCAGACTCGAGCTCGAAGATGGGATGCAATGCCCGAAGATCGAAGTACGATGAATACCGAAGCCGAGTATGCTCGACCCCGAAATAATGCCGTTATGGATTTCTAACAGAATGAGCGAGATTCCGCCACGTCCCCAAAATCATGACGCAAATCCCGGAATAGAATTGTACAATTCCGTACTAGGCGTTTAGACAGTTGTCCCAATAAGATTCCTTACTGTAAATGGAAATGTACCTTATTTAGGGTTCCCCTGTTATATAAAGGGGACCCCAATCATTTGAAAGATCATCCAATCATTGGCAAAGAATATACTATCTTATTTTTTGGCTCATTGTTCATCAGACTTGTCCTTTCTTTTTACTATTCTTACTTTATTGTTCTTGGTTCATCTCGAGGTCACTAAGCTTGAGGCCAATACTGTTTGGTAACACTGGTTTGATTCATTCATTTCTTTCATCTATATTTTATACTTCTTGATTATTAATTGGTAGTGAACTAAATCACATATCTTTGAAACCACAAATCAAATTTAATTGTTACTCGTATTTTCGAGGTAAACAGTTTGGCGCCCACCGTGGGGCTAAAGATAATAGTGATTATTTCATTACTGATTCTGATAACACACGTTATCTTTACACTTTTTCTTGTCAAGAATTTTCGATTCTCAGGATTAAACATGTCGAATCGCAAAATACACCTATTCATGACAACGAAGGTCTTGGATTTCATGGGGAAAACAACAATGTAGGGATCGGTGTACCACCGATAAACCCAGGGGAAATGCCAAATGTGGAACTAGTTGATATTAGTTCACACATTGCCTTGCAGATCTAGGCACAGACCCCAGAGGGAGTGTACGCAGGGAAGTCCGATCTGGAGGCCAAGGAACACCAGGAATAGGAGATGGGGGAGTCAGCCTCCAAGTGATATTCGAGATGCTGCAAGCTCAGCAAATCGCCACCGCTCAACTTTAGAGTCAGAACAAAACTCCGAGTATAGCTGAACCGGAAAACACTCGACGTGCTGAACCGGCGCCAGAGAGGTCAAACGAAAATGGCTCGGGGACTGACCCCACTATTATGAGAATGCTCGAAGAGCTCACCAAGAGGATAGAGTTCGGGGAAAAGAAGATTGAGGACAACGACAAGAAGGTGGAGACTTATAACTCCCGTGTTGATCAAATACCAGGGGCACCCCCGGTCTTGAAGGGTTAACGAGCATATTACTTCATACATTTGCGGGATCAAAGGAAATTACTTGAATGACGATGAGATCGATTCAGTATTGTTAAAAAAGTTTGGGGAACATTGTCGAAACGAGCCATGATTTGGTATCATAACTTGCCTCCTAACTCTATTGATTCATTTGCTATGTTAGCAGACGCCTTTGTGAAAGCACATGCCGGGGCCATAAAGGTGCCAACGAGCAAACCAGACGTCTTCAAGATAAAACAAAGGAAAGACAAGATGTTGAGGGAGTTCGTGTCCAGGTTTCAGATGGAGCGAATGGAATTACCACCGGTCTCGGAAGACTGGGCAGTACAAGCTTTTATGTCGGGTTTGAATGAAAGGAGTTCGATTGCGTCTCGACAATTAAAGCAGAATCTGATCGAGTATCCAGCTGTGACGTGGTTGGATGTACATAACCGTTATCAATCGAATATTAGGGTCAAGGACGACCAATTGGGAGCCCCCTCGGGTTTAGTTCATCCTAACAGATCGGCAGCTAAGCCCGCGAGGGATACAAACAGGGAATCGAGGTCAAACAAAGAACGGTATCAGCCGTATGTCGATCGGAGAAATAATGGTTTGGGCCGTAATGCTCTCGGAATGATCGGAGAAATGATCGAGGTCAAAGCTCTCTGGGACTCATGAGTAAAAGCGGGTTCGATAAACACACTGACCCTTCGGAGGTACCTTGATTGTCAGAGTATAATTTCAGTGTAGACGCATCAGGGATCGTGTCTGCTACCGGAAGAATCAAAGACACCAGGTGGCCCAGGCCCATACAAACCGATCCTTCTCAAAGAAATCCAAACTTAATGTGTAAGTATCATGGCAAACATGGCCATAGAACCAAGACTGCAGGCAACTAAGGGAGGAGGTAGCTCCGCTGTTTAACAAGGGGCACCTTCAAGAATTTCTCAGTGATCGGGCTAAAAACCACTTCAGGGAAAGAGATGCAAGAAAAAATGAGCAAGAAGAACTACAACATGTAATCCATATGATTGTTGGTGGTGTCGATGTCCCACAAGGAACCGTATTCAAGCGTACCAAGATGTCGATCACTAGAGAAAAGCGGACTAGGAGCTATGTGCCCGAGGATGTTCTTTCATTAAGTTAAACGTTGTCCAGGTAGCTCAGCGAACATAATCAGATCGAGGGTCATGGAACAGCTCGGCCTACAGGATCAGATTGTAATACATCCCGGGTCCTAAATTGCTTTAACATGGCAAGCGAAACAACAAAAGGGGAGATAATCCCGCCAGTCAATGTAGCCGGAACCATACAAGAAACAAAATTCCATGTTATCGAAGGCGACATGAGGTATAATGCACTCCTCGGGAGACCATGGATACACAACATGAGGGCGGTACCTTCAACTCTTTATCAGATGATGAAGTTCCCAACGGAGGATGGTGTGAAAACGGTCTACGAAGAGCAACATGCTGCAAAAGAAATGTTTGTAGTCGATGAAGTGACGCCGGTACCAGAGCCTTCGACCTCGAAGAAATTGAGCATCAAAGGTAAGCAGGCGACTAAATAGTAATCAGCGCCCCCAGCCTCGATGGAATCGGAGCAACAGGTAATCGAAGACGAAGAACAGGATTTACTTACTCCTCGAACCTTCGTCGTTCCAGAAGAGTCCGATGCAACCAAATTAACTGCCGAGGAACTGGAACAGGCCATACTGATCGAATACATGCCCGAGAGAAAGGTATACCCGGGAACGGGATTATCCTCGGAACTCAGGAAAAAACTCATTCAATTTCTTATTGATAATTTGGATTGCTTTGCTTGGTCCAACTTAGATATGACAGGGATTCCACCGAAAATAACATTACATTAGCTAAGCCTCGACCCCATGTTCAAACCGGTAAAGCAAAAAAGGAGGCCTCAGTCTGAGGTAAAATATGCATTCATAAAGGACGAGGTAACCAAACTCCTTAAAATAGGGTCTATTCGGGAGGTAAAATACCCCGAATGGTTTGTCAACGTAGTTGTAGTTCCTAAAAAAGGAAATAAACTTAGAGTGTGCGTAGATTACAAGGATTTAAACAAAGCATGTCCGAAAGATTCTTCCCCACTGCCCAACATCGATCGTATGATTGATGCCACGGCCGGCCACAAGATCCTAACTTTTCTCGACGCCTACTCTAGGTACAATCAAATTCAGATGAACCCGGAGGACCAGGAAAAGACTTCGTTTATCACTAAGTTTGGAACTTATTGTTACAACGTATTGCCCTTTGGGCTAAAAAATGCAGGAGTTACATACCAACGCCTAGTTAACAAAATATTCGAAGAACAGTTTGGTAAAACAATGGAAGTTTAGATTGATGATATGTTGGTTAAGTCCCTGCGCACAGAGGACCATTTAACTCATTTGCAGGAAACATTCAAAATTTTGAGAAAAAGTACAACATGAAGCTTAACCCAGAGAAATGTGCCTTCGGAGTCGGCTCGAGTAAGTTCCTCGGCTTCATGGTGTCAAATCGGGGTATCGAAATTAACCCTGACAAGATCAAGGCCATCGATGATATCACGATCGTGGATGGTGTGAAGGCCGTGCAAAGACTAACTGGACGAATAGCTGCCTTGGGTCGATTCGTTTCGAGGTCATCAGATCGGAGTCGCCGGTTCTTTTCCTTGCTCAAAAAGAAAAATGATTTCGCGTGGACCCCAGAATGTCAACAAGCCTTGGAAGAATTGAAGCGATACTTATCGAGCCCGCCTTTGCTTCACACTCTGAAGGTAGATGAAAAACTTTACCTATACTTGGCAGTATTGGAGTTAGCGGTAAGTGGCGTACTGGGTCGAGAAGAGCAAGGTACGTAATTCCCTGTTTATTATGTAAGCCGAACTCTAGGAAATGCTGTAAGTAGATATCCTCACTTAGAAAAATTAGCACTTGCTTTGATAAGTGCATCTAGAAAGCTAAAACCATATTTTCAGTGTCATCCCATATGTGTATTAACAACTTACCCCCTTCAAAATGTTTTGCATAAGCCCGAGCTATCGGGCCGGTTGGCCAAATGGGCCATCGAACTTAGCGGGTATGATATTGAGTATCAACCCCGAACGGCCATCAAGTCGCAAATCCTAGCTGACTTCGTGGCAAATTTTTCGCCGACCCTCGTACCCGAAGTGGAGAAAGAACTCCTGCTAAGATTGTGTACATCTTCGGGGGTATGGACCCTTTTCATGGACGGTGCCTCGAATGTGAAAAGATCCAGGCTTGGCATTGTCTTAAAGCCACCTACGGGTGGTACCATTAGATAATCTATCAAAACTTCTACGTTGACTAGTAATGAGGCCGAGTATGAGGCCAAGATTGCTAGTCTCGAGCTAGCTAAGAGCTTGGGAGCAGAAGTCGTTGAAGCCAAGTGCGATTCACTGTTGGTGGTAAACCAAGTAAACAAGAGTTTCGAGGTTCGAGAGGACAGGATGCAACGGTACTATGATAAGCTACAGGTAACTCTGGACCGCTTCAAGGAGTGAACTTTGGATATCGTGCCTCGAGAATAAAATAGTGAGGTCGATGCACTTGCTAACTGGGATCCACGGTTGAAGAATATGATATTGTCCCGGGGGCTGTCGTCCAATTATCGAGGTCTGTGGTTGAAGAGGGTCATGCCGAGATAAAATCTACAAGCGTGACTTGTAAGTACATCGATTATTTGAAAAAGTGGAAAACTCCCATCGGACCACAAAGAATCGAGGGCCCTACGAACCAAGGCTGCTAGGTTCGCATTAGGTGAAGATGGAACATTTTACAGGAGAACGTTCAATAGACCATTAGCAGTATGCTTAGGGCCGGGGGACACCGGTTACGTTCTGCGAGAAATCCACGAAGGTACTTGTGGGAATTACTCCGGCGCCGAGTCTTTAATTTGCAAAATTATCAGA